GAAAGCTGGACCATAAAGAAGGCTGACTGCTGAAGAATTGATGCTTTCGAATTGTGGTGCTGGAGGAGACTCTTGAGAGTCCCATGGAGAACAAACCTATCCATTCTGAAGGAAGTCAACCCTGAGTGCTCACTGGAAGGACAGATCCTGAAGCTGAGGCTCCAGTACTTTGGCCATCTGATGAGAAGAGAAGACTCCCTTGAAAAGACCCTGATGTTGGGAAAGTGTGAAGGCAAGAGGAGAAGGGGATGACAGAGGATGAGATGGCTGGACAGTGTCATCGAAGCTACCAACATGAATTTGACCAAAGTTGGGGAGGCAGTGGAAGACAGGAGGGCCTGGTGTGCTCTGGTCCACGGGGTCACGAACAGTCAGACATGACTTAACAACTAAACAACAAAAGCATTCCCTTCCTTCCCAGTTTTAGTTGGTTTAAGATAAGTTGATTTATTTGTCTTGGCATTTAGCAGACATGTTCCAGCTTCTTGACACACTGAGCTACTATTAGGCACTGTTGGAAATGTAGCAGGCCTGCTTTTAATACTATTGTTTGTATTCACAGTGCCTGTAGCCCCCTTGGAAGGAAAGAAACTTTCAATTCTAAGCTGTTTCTTCTTTCTCTCCTTTTCCTCCTTCTCCTCACTGATAGCGTGTCATCTTTTCTTCAAACTCTTCCTCCCTTTAATGCGTATGGAGTCATTTTTTGTCTTGTTTATGCTTTGTTTATCTTAGCAAGAGTGGGAGCTGTATCTGGGTGATGTTGCTCCCCCTCCATCTTCCCCCTCGATCCTTCAGTCCAATATCCAATTATCTGGGAGAAAGTTCCATTGAACTCCATAGAATATACTTTTAAGTAGACATGTTGAGGATTGTGCTACAAGTGTTCTTTTTTGGCTATACCAGACTTTTCCAAATCAGTGCCCTCTAGATATGTTTAACAGAGATTCCCGCCATCCGTGCTCACACGGGTGCATGTTCATCTTACTTCCTGGCTGGACCATCCAAATAATAATTGAATTGGTGAATGGTCCATCATAAATATATTATCAAAAACACAAAGTGCTTTTCAGCAAGACAATTCATGGTTTACTTTCAGATCATCAAATGGAGAAGAATACAGCCTGTCTTTCCAATCTGAAGCTATTTCTGACCTAGCTGGTTGTGATGGTAGACATAGTCCAGTACCATGGGGTGCAGCACCAGGTAGGGAAAATCAAGACATTTGTGATAACATTCTTAGTCCTTTTCTTTATATTAATTAACAAGATATAAAACATCAAAAATGTTGTAATTTACCAGGGGACATGAATATTCTGTTCTCATTATCCAGGAATGTCATCAGTTTGTCATAGAGGAGTTCAGCTTCATCCAATTTCATGGGTACTAAAAGATATAAAACGATAAAAGTCAAATAGGTGAAAATGATTGCAGCATTCCCCAAACTCATAAGCAGGTACCTAACAAGGCATATGGTGTTAGCTGAATAGCACAGTGAGATGGAGCACAGGAGTTCAGTTCCCAACTGTGCCTTTAGAGGTTCCACCCATTATTGTCCTGGGCAGGCTACATGGCCCAAGAGCATGCCCAGAAGAAGGGAAAGGTAAACCAATGGTAAACCGTTGCCAACAGTTTAGACATTAATGGCTGTATGTTATGTTATTTTGAGGGGACAGCACATTTACACTGTTATACAAGCTATATGCTCACTGTTTTACATTGTAGCCAAGTGTCATTTCTTCAGTGTTGTCGCATGAAAAGATATACTACTATATTTATGAAATGTGATGGGGTGTACTCATTTCTATGATATACTGTTGTGAGGACAGGAGCTGGAGTGAGCTGTCCCCTCACGAATATAGCATAGGACAGGAGAGTAAAATCGCGGAAAGAGAAAAGGAAGGACAAATTAAAGGAGCAAAAGAATCAGCAGCAGAGATGCGCGAGGAAAAAGAGGGAAGAGACAGCCACGCGGGAGAACTAGAAAGGTCTCGAGGAGAGAGAGAAGTTGTGAGGGAAAGAAAGCCGTTAGGACAGTTAGAGACTGAGGCCAGAGAGGAGGGAAGGACAAGACAGGACAGGGAGAAAGTGAACGTTTTCTTAACAACCGAGATAGGAGAAATCTCTACCGAGACCGAGAAAGTGATTGTGTATCCGGAACAGGAGACAAAAGGAATAAGGGAAATAGGACATGTCTTCTCAGTGCCACAAAAGAGAGTTGCTGAAAGAGTAGAGGATCCAGGAGAGGGGACCTACTCTAAAGCGAGTTACCACCCGATTATTCCGGGATTGGGTCCTATTGAATGGAACTGTCATAGTTTATCCCAGGATTTCCAGTCCGGAGACACACATGAGAGACCTGAAGATGGTGATAGAGCAACCGGTAGGAATAGAGCGGACTTGTCACCCATATTGCGGGACACTATGTGTGGGGTGCAATCAGCATTTGAAGGAAGCAACCAAACCAGAATAAGAGAGAAAAACCTGTTGTTAAAGGATGTTGATGATGAGAATTCTTTGTTATGGTTATGGGAGGAATCCCCTCCACAGTTATCTATTTGTTGTTCAAGTGAAGTAAACGGAAAGGAATCAGTTGATGTTAATAATAAAAGTTCTTGCATTCAAAATTCTGCTTCATCGTTTTTGTCACAAGGAAAGGAACAGCCAGATATGAACCCAGAACTTACTCACAACTGTATGTGTAACATTTAAAGTAATACCTCTGTGTTTCTCAAATTGTATTGAATTCAATTTAAGTAGCAACCAGACATTGTGTTTTTAGGATTAGAGACTGGATGTAAGTTCTTCATCCCTTTATGCATTGCCATGTGTAACTAAAGGCTGGACAGTTATTTTTAAACATAATTAGTTATACTTATGCCTCCAAGGCTCCCAAATAATTAGTTGCCATTGCAGTTACATTTTCAAAAGATATATTCTTACTTTCTAAAAACTCTTGACTGCTTGACTATAACACAACACACACTCTCCTCCTCTCTGTCTCTTTGCCACCACAATACCTAAAGCAGAGCATAGAATAAGTCAGCATTTGAACCATGGGCTAGTCCTTCTCTACCACTCAGTGATGCTACACTTGAAGAACTATAACAAGTTATAACTCAAACAGAGTTAAGTTATCTCTCCTTAAACTGTAAGTCTAATGGAAAATCTTCATTACTGGAGAAAATAATTGCTTATTTCCAAACTCTGTGTAACCTGAATGCTGCATAACTACCAATGCTTCACTCATTCTGCAATCTCCATCTTGGTAATGACTTTAGCTGCAGACTTCATGACCACAACATCTGGCATAATTTTTGGACTTTTCTGTTTCTTTCCCCACTCCCAAGATTTGTAACCCCCAAACCCAAGGAAGAATTCTGGGGAACTTGCATTGAGGTCAACCCTAATAGAGCTATTGTCCAGCTACAGTTTTTATGTTTTTCTTGCAGACTAGTCTGGTTAACCTGAGGTTCTTTATCCACTTTTTAAAAAGAAATACTCTATGGGATGCATAGACTTTAAAAAAAAGAGGAGGAGATGTGAGTAATATAGAGGTAGCTATATCAAAATAGTGACCGAATGATGATTTACAATAATGTGTTTTCTGCCTTTTGGGAATGGTACCATCGTTTCCTTTCTGAGGAATATGTCTCAGTGATGCAGCTTGTTGTATGTATAAGAACTACCTGTTCTGATGAAATACATGAAAATTGTTCTTCATACACTGCACAGTAGAGAACCTATTGCTATAGTCTGAGCAACATTCCTGGGGAGGCCAGTCGATCCACATTCCTGTGAATATACCTGTTTGATGCACTCACTGAAAAACATGTACTGGCTGTGTTCATACACCTACATATAAAATATCTGACATTTTCAAAATTTAATATTTAAAGCAGATCAGTGGGACTGATCTCAAGGAAGAGGATAATTGGTTAATGGTTAATGAAGATACTCATAGCTTCTTGCATGAAGTCCAGACCAAGAACCCTGGCTTTGCCCTCTGATAGATGAAATCACCAAGTAACTAACAGCTTGATTAGAATACAAACCTGAAGGAAATAATGAAAATGCACCATAGGATTTTGCAAGAATTATCTCACAGGAGATATAACAGTTACACTATGCTGCCCTTAGGTGTTTCACAGCTGCCAGCAGAGCTGCTTATCCATAAGGAGTTCTTGTAAAGCTATGAGAACATTCAAACAGGCCCGATGTTTAAGTGGTACTGCATTAACCATGCTATCTGAGGGATTTGGCAATTGGTAGCCCCAAAAAGTTACTTTGTAGCTCTGGATTTGCTTCATTACTCACAGGCAATATTTTCCAGAGAGATAGTTGTATTAGTGGTACCTGGTATGGTATAGTCAGAGTGATAGACTAAGACTCCGGAGACGAGGGTACAAATCCCCACTTGGCCACAGAAACTCACTGGGGATATAGAACTGGCAATGGTAAAGGTAAAGGTTCCCCTTGACATTTTTAGTCCAGTCGTGTCCGACTCTAGGGGGCAGTGCTCATCCCATTTTTCAAGCCGTAGATCCAGCGCTTGTCCAAAGACAGTTTCCATTGTCATGTGGCCAGTGTGACTAGGAAGTGCTGTTTTACCTTCTCACCGAGGTGGTACCTATTTATCTACTCGCATTTACATGCTTTCAAACTGCTAGGTTGGCAAGGAGCTGGGACAAAGCGACGGAAGTGCACTCCGTGACGTGGATTCGGTCTTATGACTGCTGGTCTTCTGACCCTGCAGCACAGAGGCTTCTGTGGGTTAGCCCACAGCACCACCACATCCCGTCAGAACTGGCAAAACCACTCCTTAAATATCTCACTCAGTTCAAAAGCCCTGTTGTTGTTATGTGCCATCAAGTTGGCACCAACTTATGGAGACTCTAACAGGACTTTCAAGGTAAGTGGGGCATTTAACGTCATTCCACACACACCCCAGTGAGTATCCATGGCTGAGCAGGGATTCAAACATGCTTCTCTTGAGTCCTATTCCATCACTCCATCCACCACACAACAATGAGTATGAAAGCCCTATGAGGGTCTCTACAGGTTGGTTCCAATCTGATGGAACACACCTAACTTACTAATTGTATTAGTAGAGTGCAGAGAACAACAGCTGCAACAAATACTCATATAGCACCTTGCAAACTAAGAAGTGTTATTTATTTATGCCGTGGATTATATTATTAGGTCCTTTACTGATGTTCTGGATGTAGGCAAGGGGAAAGAACTGGCAACTGGCCTCAGTTCTTCCCCACAGGGTTTGGTTTCTCTGACAATATGTTGTGTTGAGTCTGTTGCTGCTGGGGAGGAATATTTTCAAGACTGTATTATAGAAAGTACAAAAATGAGCTCTGTTGATTTGCTGCCACCAACGTCAAGGGTTCTTATACCTGCTCAAAACAGGCTGTTTCTGTGCAGAAGAATAAATGAACATGCGTAGAACTGGCGTAGTAACAGCAGTACTCAGGGAAACATTTCAGTGTCCCTTGACACTCCATCTCTGATTTCAAGGTGGTTACGCCTAGAAAAAAAGAACTTTAAACTGAACAAGAGTGCCTCCTTTGGCTTGAACAGGAACAGTGCTTTTTCATTTCATTACGTATATTAACTGGGTCATCCATGTGGTTATATTTTGTTTTACTACCCTAGTGTCTGGGCAATTTTCTTGTAATTTCTGCACTCCTATTCCATTTGTTCTCTTTTAATTAACCTAGAGACTGTGGGCCATAATCTTCCATTATAGACTAAGACTTTCACTAGCTTCCAAATGTTAATCTGTTTCTCTATGGTTGGATGTATCAAAAGGTCACAAACAACCTTTGAAAAACTTCTTACCCCCCACCATTAAGATCTCTGTCTGTGATCCTTATAGCTGTTTCATTTTCATTTGACCTCCCCTCATTTGACCGCACTGCTCCGTGGGGTTTATATACATGTCTGTTCTACAGAAGCTTTCCATGCATCTATGGAAATGGGCAACCATCCGCAAAAGCTTATGCCAGTTGAAACTTTAAAGGTATGATGCGTCTTTAAGGTGTAATAAGATTCAGATGTTATTCCCATCAGTATATTTCAAAATGAGAGAGAGAAGGAGGAAAAAGGAAGAGGAGATGAGAAAGAGGAGAAGGAAGAAGAAAGTAGTTATGAAGAAAACTGTATCATATATTGGGCTTTTCAAATACTGTATAAAAGTGTGTCTTCTGACATGTCTCTTGCACATCTCCCAATCTAGGGTCCCGCAGATTGATCAACGTAATTATGTTTAGAGTAGAGAAAGCTCTGTGTTATGTTGTGATTCTGTAAGTCTCGACCATCCTGAGGCTGGCTGCTGTGGCTGACATACCTTTAGTAAATTGGACTTCTGCATAGCTTTCAACTGACAGCTATTCCAGAGACATGGGAAGAGAAATTTAAGAAGACAGGCACTTAAACACAGCTCCCCAAGACACAGGAAGGCCTAATATATTAAGTCAAACAAAAGGAGAAAATTGGATGGACTTTTCTAAGGGCTTCTGTCTGTTCCATATAGCTACCCAAGGGGATGTTTAATATTAATCTTACATTGTTTAGCCTCCTATTTCACAGCACTGGGCTCGATGAGATGAGAATATTTGAGTAATAATATTGCTGGATTATGTAATATCTCTCTCTCTCTCTCTCTCTCTCTCTCTGTGTGTGTGTGTGTCTGTAGAAAGGCAGAGCCAAGGGTGCCTTTTTATTGTGACTACTGAAGTACTGTTTGTTACTTTCAGATATCAAGAGCTCATACAGTGGTGGTCTTGTGTTGAACCAGCACTTTCCCAATCTTGGAAATTCACAAAAGTTCCAGTAATGAATAGAAATTGGCATGAACCTGAAAACTAGTCATTTGTGATGGGTCATGGTTCATCACTATCCACAAACTTTCATGGATTTTCCAATGCAATGAACCATTTTGTGGTTTGTGCAACTCATCATTACTATCCACAAACTTTCATGGATTTTCCAGTGAAATGAACCATTTTGTGGTTTGTGCAACTCAAGACTTCCAGGAGCGGTAGAACAGCCCCCACATGAGTCTGAGATACCAAGTTTGCAGCAAGCCTTCAGCTGACCCTCCTCCCCAACCCCTCCACATTTGATGAAGATTGCATTTTGGACACAATTGCATTAGCCACACAAATCAGGTTCTCCCTGGAAAGTGCTCTGTAGCAGCTGGCTAACAGAAGATGGGATGGGTTCGAGAAACAACCTACAGTATACTTAATTCCTTTCCTAGTGATAAAATGTAGCACTAGTTAGTTAAGACTTATCCAGATGGAGCATTTGTTTCCCCAAACATATTGTGTTTAGCACTGAGGTAATTGGTAATTTTTCCCTCATAATGACATGACATCAGACTTTTCTTGGGTTTTTTTAAGTGATACAACAGAGACAAAATTGAAATTCCACTGCCTTTTATATCCCAGCAGTTTTTAGTGCTCCTTTTTGTCTCAGAGAGTGGACTGTAGCACTATAGCACTTTCCATTATTCTATTCTACGGCTTCCTAATCTGAATATTTCAATTTGTAATCAATAGCATGGAAACACACACACACACACACACAGAGAGAGAGAGAGAGAGAGAGAGAGAGAGAGAGAGAGAGAGAGAGAGCTCCAGAAGAGATGCTCCAGCATGAGATTACTTCTTAAAAACATTTTTTTGAAAGGATTGCTACGTTTTCTTAGGAGACAGGCAAAGAGAAGCAATTCTAAAAGAGGCTGGTTTGAAAAGTACAGTGTTGACAAAAATGGCAGTACGTATATCCTGTGCTCCTTTGTGACAGACAGCAACAAACCTTGAATGGACTTCAGAATAAACTGGAAACCCTGCAGTTGGTTTAACACTAGCAATGTGTATTTTCTAAAGTGTATGGCAGACAACATTCTGGCTTCCATGTTCAACCCTAGCTGTAGCTTATAAACTGTCTTCAATGACAAGCATGTGTAGAGCACATTAGAGGAGGAGAATTCAGCAGTATGTGAGACATGGATCACTGTGGCCAATTTCACTTTCCCTTGAAAAGGATGCACCTGGCACACCAACTCTAACTAGCCCAAGACTCCTAGGCACACCAGCCGGTTAGCCTTCCAGCAGTCCTCCAAACTGCAATGCTAGATCTGCAGAGGGACTGTGACTTCATCCAGAACAGGTTGCAGTCCCAGTTCCAGACTGGTTTTTCTCCTCTGGATTTTCTCCAATAGAACTTGTATCTTGTCTGGATTGAACCTCAGTTTGTTCACCCACGTCCAGTCACTCACTGCATCCAGAGTGACTCAGTGCTGGTACATAACTATACTATCTGGAATTCCAGTACATACTCACACTAGCATAATACCAGCTATGAGACTTTTAGCAGCAAATTGCTGCCAGTTAAGAGCTGGCATAGATATTTCCTGTCATACATCAACCACAGGACTTAGGGTGTGGCACGAAATGCCTGCTCTGACTTCGTAACTTGTGAAAATTTGCTTCTGAAAGTTACGCTGCTGCTTCACCTAAACAGATACCCAGCCACCCACTTCCTGCTGCCACCTCCACCATCACCACCACCACCACCTTCAGAGACAGAGGTCTGTCTTCCTTTCCAGGAGCCAGGCCTGCTGTTTCCGCTCATGTCCCCACCGATCAGCTGATCAGGATGAAAAAAAACCTCCCCACTAGGCATGAACTGAAAACCAAACTGCAAACTGTTTCAGTTTCCCAGTTGGTTTATGGTGGGTCATGGCTAACCATAAGCCATGAACCATCACGAACCACCATTTGTCAGGTTCGTGACCATCTCTAATGGGCAGTGTAATTACTGTATCAGCTAAATAACAGATGGGAATAGATAGGAAGTATAATACAGAGATTATTCATAGCAGCAAAACTGACCTAAGTGACTGTGCATACTCGTTGCCAAGTCCTGGCCTTGATCCCTTCCCCCCGCATCTTCCTTTTCCATGTCAAATAGCATGTATTACATGTGTCTGATTTATCAGCACTGGAGATGACAGATTTGTAAATAACCAATGAAGCAGTACAGAATGATAGGAAAACAAGTTAGCTGGCGGGTGGGGGCAAGGAAATGTGGATTTCGTCTTGTCTACTGCTACAAAACAAGCCAAAATAAAGATAATGTCCAGCTATGGATTTCCCTTTCTCCCCAACATGGCTGCCTTTAAAAACAAAAAGAATTTGGATGGCATTCCCTCAGTGGAAACTAAAATGTACTACTTCTTTTTTTTCATTTTTAAAAATGAGCTGTGACTGTGTCTGAAAAGTAAGAGTTAGATTAGGAAGGTGGAGATTTCTTGCTCAGTTTTCTCATAGAGCATTATCAATCACTGTGAACAGGCATTTGGCCTTCTTTACATGTGTGTGTATTTATGGCTCTCTATCTTCTCTTTTCATTTTTTAAAAAAGCAATATTTTTAAAAAGTACGCCTAAACTAACTCCATGTTCTTGAGGGGAGCTGTAAGAGGAGGCCTAATAAGGAAAAAAGAAGACTCTTCTGTGTCCCTTCTATCATAGCACATACAGTCTGGGGAAATTCTTTTTCTCAGTAAAAAAATGCAGTTCAGAGCCCACTCTGTCAAAATACACTTCATTCCACGGCAGCTTTATTCAAAGCCAGGCCTGCTAAAATTATGCAATTTGCTATGCTAGATTTGACTTTAAACACTTTTAATTAACTAGCATGCTTAGGTGGGCATTTTCCCGCATTTTAACTATACTCGAGAAACTTAGAATAATGCAACCTGTAAGCAGAAGGCGAAACCAAAATGTAACTCTTAAGTCGCTTGTATCTATCTGCTAACACACTGTCCTTCATCAAAGACTACCAATGCTTCCCATCACGTTTAGAACAGCTAAGACTTACAATTTAAATTGTAAGCTGGATATTTAAATGGAACTGAATTTGTGATCTTTGTCACCTCATTTCCATGAATGGGAAAGAATATTCTGACACAAAAATTACATACTTAATTCTGCCTCACCTTCTTTGCTGACCTCCATCCCACACTGCCTTGGGTTTATTTCCTCATCCATCAGAGGGTCAAAGTAATTTCTGCAGCATTCATTTCCTGTCGAAAGTACATGAAGTAAGGGTCAGTGATTATTAGAAGCACATGAACCAAAATGTTAATTTTGAAATTCAACACCAGCATGCAAGAGGGGCATTTCTGCTACTACTTTATAAGATTTTTTTAAACAAGTCTTCTAAGCTGACTGATTTCATAATTATCATCTAGGGAAAGGTCAGAAAAGGTAATTTTGGAAACAAGTTCAGTTTATGTTACTTTTGCTCAGAATCTAATGAGAAAATTCTCAAATGCAGATGATAGGTTGACTTTAAAAAAAACCCTCCTCCACCAAAACCTAATCCTAAAACCAAAATTATTATTGAAAAGGGCTCTGAAAGTGACTTTTAAGGAGATTGTATTTCACAGGTGACTCCTTTGATTTTAACAGTTTCAAGTTTCACCACTGAGCTTTCAACATCTGGTGCATCTTTAAGACTATTGTCAACCATGGAAGTGTTTAATTACAGAGGAGATGCTGCAAACGCTGCCTCATTAATCTGAACAGCAATTGTATTAACTTGGGCTCAGCATCCGCACAATGATTTTGATGAAATAAAAGTACTCATTTAGCACTTTCAATTTCAATTGCTGGCTGCATGCAGTGCTCCAGGAACTAATGAAATTTATAAAACAAAAAAGGAAATACATCAGCGGCTGCACAATCTTGTCTTTATGGGCTAAACTGGTTGCTGTTTTTTTTATCATTTTCCTGTAATTGCCTTCTTGTACCCCACGAGAACTGCACCCAGAGGATGAGATGCATACAATCCCTCACTCCCTGGTGGGTCTGTTTGCTCACTAACATGGAAGTCCCCATTAGTTCACGGGTGGACACCCAGGATGTTTTCAAAAGGGGTTTTCATTAGACAATCATCTTGCACCAAATGTGGAATTTTAGGAAATGTCCAGATGACTTTATCTTCTGTTTGTAACCATCCAATGATTTCCTGCCACCTTTTTTCTTACCACAATAAATATGTTGGTCTGGAAAACATGGAATATCCGATGCCCAATATATTTTGACTAACAATGCACTCTTAGATGTTGTCATGGGGTTGATGCAACATATATTTGTTTGCTTTCCTCTACCTTTACATGCTTCTTTTCCCCTTGTGAGAAGACAGCAAGGTACATGAGTCTTCTTGCAACAATCCTATGAGGTCAGCCAGATTGAGGAAGAGAGAGAGATAGACCCAAAGACCCTGATGTAATTCTCAGTTCAGTGACTCTAACTAGCCCAAGAGGACTTGAACCTGAATCATACAAGTTCCAGTTCAACAGTCTAGTGCTACACCATACTGTCTCAATTGTCAGCCACAACATCTGCTGAAGGATTCTCTGTGCTGATGATGGAATGCAAAGGACTGTGGTGCCAAGATCTCTTCAAAATACTGTATTCTGTCTTAGAGCAAGCCCAATGAATCAGTGGGGAGTTGGAGGGTCAATTCCTCCATAGGTGTCATTGATTCAAATGGACCTACTCTAATTGCTATTTGCTAAGCTAAAAATAAGTTGCAACTGGAAGAGACACATCAGAATCCATGGGAGCAGATCCACCAATTTCCCACTGATTCAATGGGCTTGCTCTACTGCAACTTTATACATGAAGAAACAGGATTTCAGCCACTGAGTCACATTTTGTAAACTGTCTCATATATTATTTGAAGAAGCAATTTGCTACAATTCTAAGCTACAAGCAAGAGAATAAATGGTTTTGTTCAAGTTGCTCTGTAAGCCTGGAATAAACAACTTCAGATGTATGATAAGTTGAGAAATAGATACAGATGTGGATTTATAAGTAAGGGAGTGGGTTAAAAAGAGAATGTGTTATAGCTATACTTACACTTTTAAGAGGAAAATGAAAAAAAAATCATACAAAAATCAAACATATGACAGGGATAACATATCCAAGACACAATTCAGCAGTCCACAGTATATTTCTTTTGGCTTTAAAAAAAGAGTAATCCAAGCAGCAGCTCCTTTCTCAACACTAAATGAAACTTTGATATGAAACTAGGTTTAATTTAGATTTTTGGACCAGCGCGCTTTGACTGTCAGGCTCTGTTTTTTTCCATGCGGTAAGTACAAGACCTGCTTTACCTTGAGGTCTCAATAAAGAAAAAATAAATGAGTTTCATTTTTGTTACTTTATCTGTCAACAACTACTAGGCTGGTATGAATCTTGGCAGTATGTAATCAAAGTCTTATGTACCGCAATAACAGAGCTAGTCTACCTTATTCAGCGTAATTGTTTTCCTCTAGCACAAAGCATTGTGAGAACACGGTTTCTTTCAGATGTTGGCAGAATAATTCACTTGGGTATTAAAGGAGAAAATGGCAATGCATATCGATATACAGGTCCTTCAGAGCTATAAATGGTACACTACCAAAAATACTTGCATATACACAAAACATATTTTGATATATTGGCCTTACGTTCATCCTGTATCAATCACGTTGCCCTGAAACATGTTTTTAGGTTCATAGTGGGAAATAGAAGAACATGAAACATAGTCAATGTAACTTATTTGGCAAGTGTTGGCATCCTTGTTTATTTTTCCAAATAATCTACTATAAGCATATCAGCTTCCTGGGTGGAAGTCATCTCTGTATCACTTTATGAAATGGGATTTATGCTTTCAAAAAAAAAACATGCAGAAGAGTATGTGCAAGCATGTATCCTAGTACTGGATTCCTGTGCCTGGTGTCATGAATACACACAGAGAAAATAATGTATGCAAATGATCAGTGCACACACAGGGATGCTGTGTCCCTTGTGTACACCATTCTTTAACCTGTTCCAGATATTTATAAGGAAGTCTCCTCACAAGGACACATTTCCCATGCTAGCTTTTGTGCAGGTGGAGAACAATCATATTCAGCATTTGCTTTCTAATCCGTAATTCCAAAGTATTTCTCTAACCATGGTGGAATGCAATGGACAACAGAACAAAATAGGATGTTAGATGTGAGTAGAAACTGCATTTTCATCCTTGTAAAGGTCTTGTGTCTTCTCTCAAGAAAGACTCTTCCATGCTTCTTGCACTATTCTACATTTACAGGTACTCTGATAGTAGACAATGACATTTCTTTAAATACATCTTTTGCCTGCATTCACCCAGAATTCATAGATGGTTGGTGCTTTAACTTGTCTTGAGAGGGCAAAGCTTCTAGATCAGACACAGTCACAGGTTTCTCAGCAGTCACAGACTCTGAGTCATGTATCTATTGCTAATGCCATTTTCTTTTAAGAATGAACAAAGAATCTAGAAGGGCTCAGTCTATAAAGCCAAAGTCAATTTACTCAGTTGTTTCCTAAAATGTTTACATTTTGTTCTTGTTCAGTCATTAAGTTGTGTCTGACTCTTTGTAACCTCATGGACCAGAGCACTCCAGGCCCTCCTGTCTTCCACTGCCTCCGGAGTTGGGTCAAATTCATGTTAGCCGCTTTGATGACACTGTCCAACCATCTCATCTTCTGTAGTCCCTTTCTCCTCTTTCCTTCACACTTTCCTAACATCAGGGTCTTTTCCAGGGAGTCTTCTCTTCTCATCAGATGGCCAAAGTATTGGAGCCTCAACTTCAGGATCTGTCCTTCCAGTGAGCACTCAGGGTTGATTTCCTTCAAAATTGCATTTTGTCTCCCTTCTCTTCTCTGCTATTTGTAAGGCCTTGTTGGACAGCCACTTTGCTTTCTTGCATTTCCTAATGAGAAGAACATCTTTCTTTGGTGTCACTTCTAGAAGATGTGTCAGCTTCACGCTGTAATATGCAGAGTTATCTGATTGAAGAAACACACACATGCTCTCCTTCCATACAAATAGACACGTGTATTAACAAATATACAAATATACAAACTGGCAGACCTTCGGCGTAGCAGGCAAAAATATAGGCAAAGTGGCATAGAGGATAGTAGCATAGGAAAGAAGGAGAAGATACATTAATGTCCACACTGTTCCCTTATATACAGTTACACTGCTCCTTCTGTCCAATCACTGGAAGTATTGCATCATCTTCCTCCACATGGGTGTCACCTCTTCTCCAGGCATTGCATCATCTTCTCCTTTGTCACAGTGACTTAGCAGTCACACAGGTGTTCATTATGGCAGCTCATTAATGTTACATTCAATAACTGTTCAGGCTTATAAAATTTACAATATCTTGACAAAATGTAAGTCTTCATAGAATTGGTCAATTTCAGCCTCTTCAGCATTGGTCGGCTTCATTAGCTCTGGAGCTACTTGTCCTTGTCCTCCGCTCTTCCTCAGTAGCATATTGGGCGCCTTCCGACCTAAGGGGCTCATCTTCCAGCATCATATCTTTTAGCCTTTTGTTTCTGTCCATGGAGTTTTCTTGGCAAAGATACTGGTGTGGCTTGCCAGTTCCTGCTCCAGGTGGATTGCGCTTAGTCAGAACTCTCCACTATGAGCTGTCCATCTTGGGTGTCCCTGCACGGCATAGACCATAGCTTCTCTAAATTACTCAAGCCCCTTCGCCACGACAAGGCAGCAGTCCATGAAGGGGATGCTTAAATACAGTAGAAGTTAATAAATTTAATCAGCTACCAAAAGCAATTCACTAGTTATATAAATGTGTGAATGGGTTGTAAATATTTTACTGTTCTTGCTCTCAGCTTCTCTGACGCATCCAAACCCTTCACCCCTCACCATGTTATGCTGTGCCTCCAAATTTTGTTGGACTTGAATTCCAATTTCCTCCCCAGCAACTTCATCAAATACACTGTAAATCTATCCAGGACTAACCAATTGTTCTCTCTTGCCTCTGAACTGAAATAGAGCCCTGTCTCTCTGCTCAGTGCTTTTTTCCTCTCTACAGTCTTTTGAAGACTTTTGCTGAAAAGCAGTCATGTGTATAACTTCACTGTTTGATCTGTTTGATTGTAAGTAATGAAACCTTTTATTCTTTCTCCTTCTAAGTCTCAGAGTGAATAATTGAGACTATAAGTGTCAGTTGATGAGAAAAAGGCGTGGACTGCTCTGGGGAACATGAAGCTATTCTGAGAATCTCTGCACTTCTGCTGCATAGCCTGAGGAATTTAACCAGCCTTCAAAACTCTGCAACAGAGACTAGGCTGAAGTTTCCATTAGAGTATTTATACCAATTGTGGGCAAAGATGTCTCTCCACTCATTTTTGCAATTCTGATAGTACCACATTACTGATTATGAATGGGAGATACAGAATGAAAAACTTTTAGAAGGTCACAATTGCCCACCCCAGTTGCTTCTTTCACATCTATATGATGGGATGGAGAGAGGGGGGAGAGGGAAAGGGAGAGAGATTGTGACGATCAATATATATTATATCAATCATCACATTCTATTTCATTGGCTGTTGGTTGTAGGTGGAAAATAAATACTTCTCCACAGACTGTACCTAGCTATATTGAACTGAACCACAGAGAAGAGCAGCAGTAATGTATGAACAGGTCCTCAGTATTAAGTCGAATACTTAGAGATATATTTTCTAATCAGAGGTAATGTATAAAATGCAACAGGGAAAATCACTTTGTGGTACACCTATCTGCCCTCAGAATTTCTCACTGCTAAGAAGCAGCTCACATATTGGAGAGAAGGCTCTGTACCTCATGTTTTTCACCTGGCCTGATAAATATCCATAGGCAAGAAGATTTTGATGTGCTTTCAGACAGGTAATTCTCCGAGTGCATTTGGATATGGTCCTATCTCGAGGAAAACTGCTAAATGCACACCTGGGCATTTTAATCTGCCTTAAACATGCCAGTTGTGATAGGACACAGGTAACGTTCCTGAAGTCAATTGACGGAGTCAATTCCTCTGTGTGTGGATTGTATGAAAATGTCTGTCTGACCCACGCGTCTGCTGCCCTCTCCTTCCCCTCTTTGGAACACTGACTGCATCCCCTGCTGTTTGTGCAGTTAATGCTCCTCATGCAATATCCTTGCAATGCTTTTTTCCTGCAGGCAGCAGAGGGCATTGTGCCAGGGAAAGACCTGCTGGCTCTTCTGGGAAAATGCTGCAGGTTAGATGCAGGAGAAAAATACACTTGCTGGTGTTGGGAGCTTGTTAATAAACATGATTAGCTAATGCTCGTTTTATAAGCAGTTGGACCATCAACATTTAAATACCTAAGAAAAGAAAGGGTGGAAATAACAACCTCTGAAAAATCCTTAAGGGCAAGGAATCGTCATAAGAAAATACTGTACTGACGTGAGGGAAGAGAAGATGGCAAAGACATTGCAGAATTTTACAGTCTATTGTTTTTACTGGCAGTGGGGGCAGCCTATTAAATTGGATCAATTTGTTTTTGTTTAGTTTACTGTTTGGTGCCTGAGGACTTTCCCTATAATATTTTGGCTAAATGCTGTGCAAGAAATGTCTCAAACAGTCCCTGAGTGGAAACAAAAGCAAGGCATTCTGGGTAAAAACATTCCTGGTGTCTTGAAGGTGCAAGGATGAGATTTCTAGCCATACCACGTTGTCTAAGATGAAAGGATTAACTAAACAGCTAGTATTGTGCTTTAATTTCCCCAAATATATTTTTTCTTAAAAAATTGGAATGATTTTTCTTTCACTCACCTAGAAAAAAGAAAAAACTTTGCAGATTTTTCTCTATATAGCCCCTCAGTGCACGCATGTGTATGTGATCATACATGCACTTTTAGCACCATTTCTTGCCCACACTTCTCCAGAATGATGTGAAGTCCAGGGCGTTCTGGGAGACAGAAGATGGCAGTTTAGCTACCAACATAATTGCCACTTAGGGAAAGAATATTAATTGTACAACTACTACTAAAGGTGACCCACCCATTTCCTGAAAAAATATTGGAAAATTTCCCTGTCTCTGTAGCAATTCAGTGGTTTGTTTTCCCTGCAATTTTCTCTGAAAAAAAGGCAACCAGTGGATTTTGAGATGCTCTATTTAGAGCAAATGCTGGGCATATAAAATGTTTTAGCTTCAGTCCCTCATATTTCTAAGCAGGGCTTGGAAATAACTGTCTTTGGAATCCTAGGGAAGCACCATCAGTCACTATAAAAATTGGGATAGGTGGCAATCATGTACACCTTCATATGTTTGTCCCCTGTATCCTCCTTGGTTACCCACACTCACCAAACAGAACAAAACAAATGAAGAAGCTAGGTTTTAAAAAAGGAGAATTGCTTCCAGAGAAACCTATAAGAAATTGATAATCTCCGAAATAACACATGTAAATCGCCCATCACTGTCACCTGAACAAAAAGCTGTTTGAAAAGCTGGACAGGGACATCACTGTTTGGGGGGAATTATGGGAATTGTAGTTCAAAATTAACCTTCCAAAGAAATGTCTAGGAAAACTCTGAACTGACAGATAAATAAAGAAGTATGAAACAAGGAGTGCTTAGGAAATTTGATGAGGTGGGTAAACTTTTTTCCCTATAACCTCCATTATTTCCGAATATTAAAATAAAAGAAGTCATTTCTTCTCTTAGGTTAACAAAGGTGAGTGAGGGCAAGTTCTTCCATCTAGAGATCAGATATACTAAATGTTACACTTGGACTAGAGTTCATAGATCCCCATGCTGACTGGACATTTTGGGAGCTCTTACCTAGTGGACAGAGTGACAGACTAAGACTCAGGAGACCTTGGTTTGATTTCTGCCTCTGCCATGAAAACTCATCAGGGAGGTGGAACTGGAAATACCACTCCTTAAATGTCTCATTTACCTTGAAAACCCTGTCAGGGCTGTTGTAAGTTGGTTCCAGCTTGACAGCCCAGACCAACAATCCAGAAAAGTAAATTTTCCAAACTAAAGATCTGGGTAGCCAAGTGCAGCCATAGCAGCCAGAGTCTTCTATAAGGTTATGCCTTCCACACATACACACAAAAAGTTTCTCATCTGAATTTGGCATTTAGACATATGCTACTTGTGATACATTTATCCTGTATGAATCTATCTACTCTGCTATACAAGTGACCGTGAGCTCACTTCAGTCGCCTCAGAAAAATCCAGCATTCCCCCTCCATCTTCAATATGAGAATTATAAAGGTGCAGCATTTCAAGTGCTTTCAAAATTCCAAGAACATTGAGGATCAAATATTCTCAGATGGTTCCAGGAGGGAAAGGGATAGGTTTCAAATTAACAATTTAAATATGGCACTATTGTCACATTGAGAAAAAAAAACACATATTCTTACTCCAATAATACAAAGTTTTGGTACACATCTGGATCAAAAAAGAGGACAGAATAAATCAAGGAGGCAAACACTGATTAAGAAAGAACATTCAGATTTCTGCTGCTAGAGAACTGAATGATTTGATCAGCACCTAATACAAAAGCATTCTCTCTGTCTTGTGAGTCAACATTGCTGAATTCCACTTTCTTTTGCTTTTTGCACTGCCAGTTGTTAGTCTAATACAGAAGAGGACACCTTTCTCATAGCACCGAATAAAATGCATTCCCATAGTAATTACAGAATATGAAGATAAAAGAGAAGGAAAGCTCTTCAGATGTATGCGTGTCAGGTGTTTTCAGCCATAATTTTGTCCTTTCTAGTCTTAACATTCCAGGTTCCTAAGAAAGTCTACTGGAAGCTGTCAGGTTGGAATGTCTGGTAAACACCACGGAATGCACAGGTTAGATCAAGAACATAACCACTGTCAGTCAAGATGATGGTGATCAAGAGTGAAGCCTCACCTCTTGGCTTAGCTCGGGCTTGCAGCCTGAGTTTTTGTTGGTGAGCTGCAAGGGTGCTACCCAGCTTGTCACGTCTAATAACATCCTCCTCTGAAGTCTGATATGCTGAAAGACCTGCACTGCTGATGTTAAAAGCTGGATTTGCAATGCCTTCTGTTGCAACTATCTCGTCTTCTCCTACAGGAAAAAAAAAAAGCAACAAGGTCACAAGAGTACCCAAGACAGTGAGAAGCAGAAAATTCCATCTAATATTATATATATTGGGTAGAATTTTCATATATATATATATATGAAAGACTTGAGTATTATCAGCATCAAACAGCATCAAACAGAATTAGGTTAAAATTAACTCTTTATTTTTTAAAAAATGGAGGGGGGGGATAAATGATTAAAATAATTATAAATTGCACCCTGACAAGCAAGAGCAAAATTTCGCCCAAAGCCATTTGTCTGTAATTAGTTAATTAATCCTTACACAAATTATGAGCAATAACTCATCAAGCAAGGCTCACCCATCAGAAATTCAGCCGACTTGGATTTCTTCTGCTTAGTTTGTTTCAGAGCCTTCTGCTGGAACTTCTGGAGGGAAATTGTTAAATGAATAAATTAGCTTAAGAACGAAGATCACCCTTTATGATCCACAACGAACACAGTATTTTAAACATGGGATGGCATTGAAATGTCATTTAATTTACATCTCCGCTAAAGGGGTCCAACACTAATTGAACAACAGAAGTGGAAAAATTAAATAAAAACAGTAGAAGAAAAGTTAAGACAAATGCCAAATGAAGGTCACATTAAAATACTTCCTTTTAAAAATAAATCTATTATAATTAATACAGAAAACTGCCATGAAAGGAACACTTGCCCTTGGATTCAGCATGATGTTGAGACCCTATAGGAACTGGTTGTGCATAAAGTTTAGTCAAAAATGAGTTTATTTATATTGGTAAATGTACTTTATTTCTTTTCTTTTCTTTAGGGTCCAGTTACCTCAAAAACATAGTTAGTAATACCAAGGAACAGGTCGTTTGCATCATAATGGTTCTTATGTAAGTGAGCAAAATAGGAAATACTGTGGGGTATTTTGATCAAACTGTGAAAAATCAGAACGACAATTAGAAGAGTATCACAGGAGACCGAAAGACATTGGCTGAAATCCTGTTTCTTAGTCTTAGTAGGTCTCACCAGTGTACGCCCATTGAATCAGTGGGGATTTGCAGAGTTAGCTTGTCCATAATTTCCATTGATCACCTGGGCTTACTCTAGTGTAATTTATGCTAAGCATCGGGATCTCAGCCATTTTTTTCACAAAAGCTCACATTACATGTGAAAGTGGAAGATCCTATTGATGAAATCTGAATCTCCTGCTCTGGCAGTTTCAAAGCAGGGTGTGCTCCTGTATTTTGAGAGCATTCAGGTTTACAGGTGTGAATAGTTAAATCCTCCCCCTGCCTTAGGCTGCTTCCTTCCATGCAGACTGTCTCCCAACATCACTGTCACAGCCCCCCAATGTCTGAGCTCATCTCCAATATCAGAGACTAAGTGGAGGATAAGTGGCTTGGGGAAAAACTATGGAGAATGAAGAGGGGGTTGTTTTGTTTCATTTTTCAGTATTTATAGCTCAGCTTTGTATAAGACATCAAGGCGACTTATAAACAATTACACAGGTACTTGAGAAACACCTTGGAATATAGCCTTGTTTTGATAATGGGTCCTAGAATGCCCCAATCATCATGGCCAGTGGGGTTCTGGCTATGATAGTACTGTAGGAGGATTCTGAGATTAAGGCCAAAAAAAAAAAAAAGGAATTTCCCAAAGCTCTACCTAACAACTATCTCCACTTTAATTTCATTAAATGCTAAAAGTACACTACTCTTTGTTCCAGGTGAAAATTTCAAAGGCAAGGACAATATTGTCATTGCAAAGAGCAAGACACGTGTCATTTCGTGCAGACATCTCTCATGATTTAGTCTCTGATTACCATAAACGTGAGAGCCACTTAAAAAAATAGTAATCATTATGTTTTAGGCACACAACCCTTTTCAGCCTCAAACCTCTAGCTGTAATATGGATAGAATGCTACCAACATGATCATTGAGAAAATGAACACAAAGCACTTGAACACATGTGCAAAACAATCCTACAGCTGGGAAGCACTGAGAGGGAGACCTCACAATGGAAAAACTGCTGCATCTAAAGTTTTGCCAGGCTCAAACCAGCAAGGTAGATAGGAAGACAGAACTGCGATTTTCTTTTCTTAGATGCCTTTCCATAGATTCCAGTGCACTGAGCATTCACACAGCAGAGAAGAAAGGGGGGAAATGAAAATGAAGAGGACAAAGAAGAACACACATACACTCAAGACCATACTTGATGAGGTCAACAGAGCCCTTGCCTCCTATTTGTCAATTAGAAATTTGTTTCAGTTTATGACAGTTCTATTAACCTCAGCTCTGTTCTGGTATTGTTTTCATCCCTTTATCCAAGATCTGAGCAGTGGGACGCCTTCCCCTCCCCCTACACTGCACCTTTTACAGGGAAAGCAGTGCAACTGCAGAAGAGAGGTTCCTGATTGTGTGAAAGCTTTCCATGTGAGCAACAACCCCAGTGTTCCAACGTTCTTGTTTCCACAGAAAGCCTACACATAAATAGGAATTCCTCTTCTGCAGACTCATTGCTTTCCACCTGAAGAACGAGACAATAGAAGGGGTGGGATCAGGTGTCCCCAAGTTACATGGTTGATAAAACAGGTTGAATAATACCTGAAGAGGGCTACAATGCCATCCATATCACCATTACTTTGAAAGACTGAACACTAGTTTGTGAAGTGACAGTTGCTCTTAATAAAGAACATTACTGTGATTTTTGAGTTTTGGACTAATAAGGCTCCCTGTGATTTTTACATGGCCCTCACCTCGTTTCAATTTTTTCGGGTAGGGCAACTTAAACACAAATTTGAACAGACAAAGAGAGATATTAAGTAAAAACTCAGAGAAACTGAGCTCTTTGGTTTACCGGGAACTCTTATATGAAGAAAGAGAGAAGAACCAATAAAGTTTTAGTTGATCTTGTTCAACTAGGGGGTTGAATGGGTTATACATTAGTAGAAGGTAGCATGTTGAGAATCTACATGGTACACACCTACATCAAAGTCTAGCATAGTAAGGCAGTTACCAAGGTCCATGCCTGTACAAAGGGCCTCCTGTCAATCCCTCTCCCCTGTATCAATTTGCAGGTTGCTTGCCTATTCCTCAGTGTGACCATCCAGTGAAAAGAGCAATGGGAACAGGCAAAATCAAGGCACCATAACTCCATACCTCATATCTTACTCACTCTTCCCTTCCAGTCCCAACCCTTATTCGATTTTGTGTGATCCAGGAAACAACTAAAAAAAAAAATCCTCCCTGAAGTGTTAGCCTAGTGAGTCTATCCCAAATTAAGGGTGTGTTGTTTGTGACCTAAATTCAATGAAAGACTGTTGATTATACAATATTAAAGCTCACATACAGGTCAGCGTGCTGCTTGTTTACAAAGCCTAGACTATAACAAATGACATCTAATGCTGCCTACTATCATAGAAACATCCATTAATTTTTTTTAAAAAAAAAAAATAAATTTCTAATTTTCCATGTTCCCCTTGCAATGGGAGGTGGGCTGAGAAATGCAAACATGAAAAATATGTATTCCATAGAAACAATAAATCTGTCAGAATCCTTAAATTATAATCCAAGTATATTATAAGTATAAGCAACAGCAATTATTAAAATGGCAGGTTAAGACTTATCCATATTCTTTATTGATTACTTATTTTTAATTCAGAGAGAGAGAGAGAGAGAGAGATTGCTTCAGAGAATTTTAAACAAATGACTGTCCTTTTAATCGTCTAAAAAATAGCTTGATGTTCTGAAATGCTTTCAGGGTCTCATCAGTGTCATGGTATTTAGAATTTTAAATAAGTTGAAGTTGCCAAATTTTGTTTACATAGCTTCAAATCTCATCTTTTTTTAAAAAAATGAAAGAAGTCAGAATATTGTTAATTTTTATATAAATTAAAGATTCTGCTTTGTTGCATTTCACAGCTATGATCCGTCATAATGAACCAATTCAAATACAATTAACTAATAGTGGTACTTGATTCGCATTTTTAATGCCTAACACATCATACTGCATTGTAGTGTAGATTTACAACATGAGACTTTTACATGTCCTTGGCATTTGATGTGCTTCTAATGCAGGGAATTGTTTGAATTGTGCAGCAACTGTTAAGGACAAAACTACGTGTCAGTCTTGACTTCATCTGTTGGCCTCTAAATGTCTCGGATGTGAACTTCCACCATCACCTAGTCAGCACAGCTGGTAAATTTTTGAGCTGGGATGCAGGAAGACCATGGAGTGGTATTTGTTTTTAAGCTTTAACAAAGGGGTGGCAATTTCAGTAGGCTTGGGAGAGCCACATTTTCACCCCCAGATTCCATCATGGGCCACACCATACCTAGAACTGACTGGAAACTGCCTTTTTTTTTTAAAAAAAAAAAGTCACTTCTGGCTTCTATCTTTGCATGGGGGGGATGGGTGATATTGGTGGACTTAAATTGAAAACTGCCACTCCTGAAGGCCTGCAGGAGTGAGAATGGACTTTTTCTCCCTTCAAAATGGGGGTTGGGGTTTGCTCTTGGCAATCTTATGGGCCTACAAAAATACCCCTGGAGGGACTACATGTCCCTTGCATGGTCCTCATGGGCCACGTGTTGCCCACTCCTGCATTAACAGCAGCCAGTAGGGTAGTGGGGAAGGTATATCCTGGTGGGAGAAGGTGTCATCTCTTTCCACCTTTTTTTTTTTCTAAAGGCATACCTCTACCTGGTCACATAACTTGAGAATATAAAATCTACTTTTGCTCGCTCTTATGCCCCAAAATAAGGAAGACCTAATTTTTCCCCTGTGGAACAGAAATACTTTTTTCTATCATTCTCATCATGATTTTCTGCATATGTAAGAACATTTTTGTGCAATCTGTGAATGGGCTTTGCACAAAATATGGTAACTGCTACCTGGATGGTGGGGTTTTTTGAAAGTAGAAGTGTTAGATGAATTCTCTGCATCTTTCTGATCAATCAGCCAGGCCTTCTGTGCTTCCTTGATGTGTCCATGCTTAGTTTTACATGGGGAAAAGACATAACATTTTGCATGAATTCTGGAAAAGTCAGTCTAAAAATATTCTTATTTTTTCACGCAATTAAGTTAAATGAAAACTCCTGTGGGTTTGATGGGGCTTTAGAGCAGTATTTCTGGATAATCTAAGATGACCGGCTGAGAATTTCCCACAAATTCTTTCCACAGGACAAAAAGCAGATTGGGATAAGAGTTGTTAGCTTTCTTCCAGCGCTTTGCTTCTCAGATGAATTACAGCAGCCTGTAAAGCAAAGCAAAGCATGCTGCTTATTCAGCAGTATTTCTGGATAATCTGAGATGACCAGCTGAGAATTTCCCACAAATTCTTTACACAGGACAAAAAGCTGGGTACTCATTTTACCACCTCGGAAGGATAGAAGGCTGAGTCAGCCTTGAGCCGGCTACCTGGGATTGAACCCCAGGTCGTGAGCACAGTTTTGGCTGCAGTACAGTGGCTTAACCACTGCGCCACGAGGCTCTGTAGTCTCTATTAATATTTTCTAAAAAGAAGCACAGAGACAAGATTTTATCCATACGTCTTGTTGTGTTGTACGTGGCCACAGCGCTGTTTAACTAAGATGGCAGTTCAATGCCCAAACAATCAGGACAAATGATTAGTGGGTTTGTTCACTTAACTCATTTTTTCCAGAAATCCTTAACAAAATTAAATGTAAGAGAAAGCAAAAACAGCAAGATTCACTTATACAAGCACAGAGGCATGGTCTTACATTTAATACCTCTTTATTCAACCGTAGCCCAATTTGTGCCTTCATTTCCTTACACAAGTGAGATGACAGGAGACGTGCTTGAGTCTTGTCCCTTTCAGCCCTCCCAATCTCTTGAAGGAGGAAAGTCTAAAAATGAGGAAGATCTTAAGCTATCAGGGTTCTGAGCACATGAAGGCCCTGCGCAGCACCACACAGAAAAGGTGCTGTAATCACATTCAACTTGATCACAGTGCTTTTTCAAACCTATCCCAGCAATATGAGGAAACTAGTGATGGGGCTGGTCTGGAGTGTACACCTCCAGTTCCTTCTGCTTAGGGAAAGCTATGAACTCTTGAATAATGTACGCATTTGTTCTGAGTGAGAATTGCTACTCAGTATGTTAAACTGTATAGGGAAGTCATTGAAATTCACAAACACCAGCAGAGCTTCAACAAAAAAAGAAGGAAGTCTAAAACTCAAAAACTTCCAGCACTGCACACAAAAGACCAGCTAATGACACCCATCAATCACAATGACAGATCAGCTCTTGCCCTTATCACAACAATACACCCACAACAAAAAACACGCTGATCACCATAATCACCCAATCTCCTGAAAAGGACAAAAGCTGATCCCACAGCTATAAATACTCAACTATCCCACAAACTGCACCAGAGCACAGATAGAGTTTTGACTCCTGTCCTCTGAAGATGCCGGCCACAGAGACTGGTGAAACGTTAGGAACACCACCACCCCCATAACATGGCCAAACAACCCGAAAAGCCTACAACAACCATCGGATCCTGGCTGTGAAAGCCTTCAAGAATAAAATGCTGTTTCTTTTTTTCTAACAGATTCTTGTCACTCGCTCTTTATCTTTAATGATGACATGGCGGACCAGTGTATAAATAATTTCCATATTGAGAATAGCTGTGCTGGTTGAATTTGGCCAATGCTGACAGACATGTCGGTTGGGGGGCAGCAGGGGGCAGGAGCAGGGGGTGTTTTTTTAAATAACCCCCTGCAAATTGATGAATAAATTCATTATTCGTTGGTTCATGGGGGCAGCATGGTGCTTTGTGAGTCATCAACTTTTGACAACTCACGAAGCAGGACAACTTGCCAAAATTGTGAGTTGTCCCCATCTCTAGTCCCAAGCTATTCAGGGGGGTTCAGATCAAAAGTAACATTTTTTGGTTGTTGTGGGTTTTTTGGGCTCTTTGGCCATGTTCTGAAGGTTGTTTTTCCTAATGTTTCTCCAGTCTCAGTGGCCGGCATCTTCAGAGGACAGGAGTACTCGGCCAAAGAGCCCGAAAAACCCACAACAACCATGGCCGCGAAAGCCTTCGCGAATACAACTTATTTTTTACTTAGAAAGCAAAACAATTCCACCACACTGGTATTAGCCCTGTTCCACTGAACTAACTCTACTAGGATCTGAGTCACATTCAGGACATTCAGAAGGAATTGCTGGGAAGCCACTGCCCATCCTAGCACCTCCCACCTAAAGCAATTGAACTTTATATCATCTTATAAGGTAAATCCTCAATTGATTTACCTTATACCTTATCATACAGATTTCTTCTGTATGATAATGCCCGGCTGACATATGCCCATTTAGAAAACATAAGGTAACTTGAGGTAACTTGAGATACTCTCTGTCCCATATAGTAGGCAATGCTACAGAGCACACTGCCAGACAGTTGAAGTATTCCACTGTACAAGACTTCTGCACTGAATTTGATTGTATAAATACCCCCTGTCCCCACCCCTACCCCTAATTTATAATTACTGCTAAGGTATTTTGAAAAGAATATATATTGATTAAATAAAAACAAGGCTGCAACAATATTGTACAATCTAAGCAGCACCTAATCTGTGCCATGTGTTATTTCCATGAAATAACTTTTGTCTATCTACATGAGGTGAAGTGTTACCTGAAAACATATTTTGGGGAGGGGGGAGAAAGGTGCACATAATGAGGGTGACTAATGAATTCACATTTGTCTAAAGCTATATATACTGAGCTATGAATGTATAGTAATTTCACTGTCACTGCACTAATGTGGGTCAGCTGATCGTCTGGCCTGATTTTCCTCTTCCATAACCAGGACATCTTTGTATGATAAAAAGTAAAACCTCAGCTTTCCGGTGGCATAGTTGCCAAGTTGGGGGGGGGGGATGAGGATTGAATTTGGAGACCTAGATTCAACTCCCAGCCACTTCTACACCCACTCAGAGAGAAGGGGCTTAACCCAGGCCCTATTGGTTACCACCCTTAGGTAGAGTGGGGTTAATACTTTGGAACAGGTCATTGCCTGAGTAATGTGAAAGTATCTGCTTGCTGTGAGATGCATTTCTTTTTTCCTCCAGTACCTTGCTTGTGCTACTCTGTAACCTGTAGATGTATTCATGGCGCGGAGGGGGAGAGGATAAGAAAAGAAGACCCAAGTCGAGGTCTCTCACTTAATGCCATGTAGGCCATCTTTTCCATTTTGATCCCACTATTTTAAATATCAGCCTTTCCCTGTGAAAAGTTGAAATGCCTGGGAGGAGGATATAAGCCAAGAGCCATGTTTCTGAGTCACTGAAATTAGACGAATTTACCTCAGAGTGTGTGTTTTAAATGTACAAATGGTATGATTTATTTTTTCTGGAAGGTAAAAAGGGAACATAACTTGTCATGGTGATTTCCATCCCCCCATTAAATTAATAGTGCCTATTTTAAAGGAGGCATTATGACATATTTTCTACTCACTGTGTAAAATCTAATGTGATTATGACTTTATTGCTGTTTTTGAAAAAAAAAATCTTTTTGAAGAGTGAATCAATCCCTGGACAATTTAAATAGCAAGTGAGAAAGGGAATCCCATTTAAAATATCTTTTCTGGGGTGCATCTGATGTTTCTTAATGTTCCTGAAATAACAAAAAAGCTTTTTTTAAACCAGTGCTAGAACATGGTAATGAAATCTGTGCGCAAACAGGCAGTATCACAACTGTAGCAACCACAGCAGCCGCAGCAGCAGCCGCAACAACAACAACCCCCCCCCAATTTATAACCAGTGACAAGTAAAACCTATGAAGTTTTTAAAAGAATGTGATTGTTGTCAGAAGGAATTGGGTACAACAAAGCCACGTTCAGTTCTGGTTCCACTCAAAGCCATGGCTCAGGGGTTCTGTGAACGCTGCTGCGAGGCTGGTGGGCACAGACCAGCAAGAAAGTGAGTTTTGCATACTGTACGGATCATCGCTCAGTTCAGGGCAGTCAGATTGAATCTGCGATCAACCAATTGTGCTTCATGAAACCGTCAGCCTGCATTTGTGTCTGGCTGTTTTCTCCTGTCCCGCTGTAAACAAGCTGTGCTCTGAGCTGTCGCCCTACCCTTATCTGCTTGGCGAAGATCACACAGACAGACCTCATCAGCAGGCTTAGAGTTAAAGTTAAAGTTACCACTTCCAGACAGCAGTCCCTATGCGGCTGGGAGTCAAAGAGAAGAGAGCCTTTGGAATGACAGAGTTTTAGTTCCTTTTAGGAGAGGCATACCTTAGATTTAGACACGGGCTGGCATGTGATGTCTCCTTTGTGAAACCAAATTAGGTGTTCTTAAAATGAGCAACTGCTCCAAACATCAGCAAGCTAGCTCAGCAGATTCATCCATCAGGGACTCCATCCATCCACCACCCCCTTTGGGACTGTGTCTGTGTACAACTCTAAGAGAAGTGCTAGCTGGAGATGAACTGTCAATCTGATAGGATTCCAGGAACCTAATAATGCCTGAAATACTCTAAGGAATGTAATGACATTAAACAGGCACAGGTATGCTGGCTTCTATTTTCATATACTTCAGTGAAAGCATTAAGTCTTTAAACATAAAACAGGGTATATTTCTACAGCTCATCTTTTCTGAGTAAATATAGATAGAATCTTCCTGTACTTTATATAGGGACTTCTGTTGTGAGCCAAGCCATTTAAAGGAAATGTTATTTCTAGTATTTAAGTCCTACAATCTGCCAGTACCACCCTGTTAAAGGTTTCCTTAATTCTGGCAGAATCTGGAATGTCCCATCACCTCACCAATCTTTAGTTTATTACTGTGCTTATTTAAGGAGTAAGAGCCCGGGTGAAAAGCATTGCAGTTTGCACTTGTCTGCTTTTAGGAAGAGGAAACCATTTATTGCTAACAAGTGTGACACCTGACAGGATCAAATGTACCTTTTTGGGGTTTGTGTCAACATCAGATTTGGAAAGGAAAAAAAATACCATCTACTTTCTAAAAGTATTTATATGACAGAAGAGCTAAGGCAAAGTGCTAAATGAACATTTATAAAATGTATAGTGCCATATGTGGAATATACACAGTCCAGGGTTCAAATCCCCATTTGGCCATAGAAACTCACTGGGAGTATCGAACTGGTAAAATTGCTCCTTAAATATCTCACTTAAGTTGAAAGCCTTATTAGGGTTGCTATAAACTGACAGCGGGTAACTATGTGGAGAACAAAGAATTCACAGAACAGACAGAAGATGTACAGAGGTTTTGTGAAGGGAACACAAAATAGGAAAATTTATACATTTTTTGTATCCAGTATGTTGCTGCACAATGATACCATTTAGGTTGTACAGTATACCTAAATGCTTCCCAGCATAAAGTTATTTCACATCATCGCTTTGATACATACAATTGAAATAGCTAAATCCCTGATACTACATACTGTTTAACTTAAGGAAATTTTTAAGTAAAACAACACTCATGTCACTAGTTTGGGATTTGTACTGGGGGGGGGGGAAGCTTCCAAAGAAAGAATATGATTTGACATAATCTTTGTGGAAGTAATTTTCTAATTTAAACATCATTCTTCTGCCCCCCCCCTACACACACATTATTTCAGCAATATACAGCAGATCAGGAATATATTGCTATTGAAAAAGAAATAGGTGTACTAATATAAACATATTAGCAGCCCTGAGTAGGGAGCTAGAGAAGGCATAAGAATTTGAATAGATTAAACACTGGCATTTTAAAACAAAATTCTTTCATTACATTTTGATTCAAGAAATTACCTGTTTGTACTCCCTCTTTAAATAATAAGCAACATGATGGCGGGTTGAATGAAGTCGAGACCATCACAAACGTGGGTCTCGGTAGTAATTAATGTAGTTTAATATGGTTGTTGGCACACATCTCACATGACAGATAATGTTCCAACATGTCACTGATAGGACCTTTCAGCACAGCTTTAGGAGATCTACCAGGCACTACCGAGGTTGGTTAGGTCAAAGGGTTGAACCATGTGTAATTCAGAACAGAGGAGGTCCCACGGTCACTCCACAAAAACAATTACACTACTTATTTCACTTCGTCCCTTGCCCGAAATTCACAAGCCTCACAGTTTCAGTGCAGTCAATCTCGTTCTGCCCCTGGGCTACAAAACCACATGAAAATATGTGGTGCTGTGTTTATAAATCTAATCAAAAATAGAAACAGTAGACAGGCACAATGAGGTTCTACTATAGATCCCTGGGAATAGTCTAAATTCTTGAAGGCACTTTTGTTTAACTTCTGTGGGCCGCCCTCTCTCTATTACTACTACATTGTCTACAACTCTCGTTAATCATCCCCTTCACTTCTCAGTAGCAAAAAAGGGAAAACTGCTTGCCTGCCTGCTTCCTCTCTGTCATCCTTATGAGTAATATTGGAAAAGGAGGGGAATTATTTTAAATAACCTCACACACACACCCAAAAAAAGAAAGCACTTACCTCCCTTTCCATGCTTTTCTCCCCTTGATACAGTCAAAAAGAAAGACACCATCAAAAACAAAGAAATGGTTTTGCCTAAAACAAAAGACAAAGAGAGAGAGAGCTTAGATAAATAAATGATAATTTGCCTCACACGTATTTGACCTTGTCCTAATTTAAGTTAAGCAGTTGTGTTTCCAGAGAAGATTTCAGAAGATATTGCCAAAGACAGTGGGTGGGGTGGGGGAATTGCCACTTGTCTTCCATGTAGTCCAAACAAAGCTGAGGCTGATCTAGCATCACAGGCTCTTTTTTGTTGCTGTTGTTTTGTGTGGGGGATCCTCATCCGAAGAGACATAATTAAACAACAGTGAATGCTGGCACTATAAGGGGTACCGATGAGTATTTGGCAGCAGTGACAGCCGCAGCAAGTGGCATCCAAATGTATTATCGTTAGAAGATGAGTTTTCAGCATATGTTATGCATACAGTAAATGTACTGTAAATATACAGGCCAGGATCCAAAGCATCACATGACTAGTTCCACACGTCCAAAGAGCTGCTTTTGAAACAACAAGGTTAGGGGGCTGTTTTATATCCAGATTTGGCATGAGGAACAGCATAGTTCTGCTCTTCAAAGGCAGAGAGAGCCCTCAAAAGAATCCCTCAAAATATTTCTAAGCCTTTGCTTGTGTTTAAAGCTGAAATGTCATCTTGGTCACCAAAACCCTTTCGTAAGAGAATTCCTTTCATCTTGGTCATGATGTCTAAGGAATTATGCATCTGCATTTTAAGTTAAAGTGGCCGAAATCCTTTTCCATAAGTTATGCATATATTTTTAAGGAAATAATAAACTTCTGATCCCCACCACACCCCAAAGTTCCCAAGGCTCTGATAGGATCTCCTTTGTTACAGGGAAGTCACTACAGGCTTTAAGGTGGGGTGAAGTGGGGTGGGGTGGACGGAGAATCTTTAATTTCCAAAAATCCATGTCATTGACAAAATCCCTTCAGCAGGGATTCTCAGAAACTAAAGACCTCCCTCCCATCGCACAGCCCCCAATGATTTCCCCACAATGAAGGGGATCCCATGGGAGTCTTGGGACCTTTGGGACAAATTGGATTTTTTTAAAATTTCCAGATAATCACTGAGATTGATGAAGTCATGAACCTTAGGTGGCATAGCTGTGCAGACATGATTTGAGCCACTGTCTAGCCCAGTTTGTCTCTCAGATTCCCACTGTTCACTTCCAGCAATTGCTGGGCAATGGTAGGGTTTGATTCGTTATCTAACACATCTGTAAAAACATATACAGAACAATGGCTATCATGCAGCCTCCAGTTCCACGTCTGTGCTCCTCCCCAAGCCCAGCCAAAGGTACCACAGAAGTGGTGATGAAATCTAACCTCTGTCCACTACTTCCATTGTTAAAACAGCCCCGGCACAATGTATCTGTTGTTTCACAGATTCAGAGCAGTCTCAGAAGCCTTCCGGAAGCATTAGAAACAACCTTGTTAATAGCAAGTATGCATCCAGCATGCCTTGTTTCCAGTGAAAACATTGCTTTCAAGAGTCTTTTGGAAGTGGTATTAGCTTCTCGGAGAAGAAATATGGGGATTTTTCTACAGAAAAAGGAGAAAATGTTCATTTTGTTGGCATTTTGCTACCACAATCAC